GGGGGGGGGGGGGGGGGCCCGGAGAAGGCTCTTTCACCAGGCTGTTTCTTCCACCAATGTCTCTTTCTCTTCATCGGGACATCTGTCAGTGGCCTCCCGGGCAACTTGGAAGCAGGTGAGAGTAGGTGAGGGCTGCCCGGGCTTCTGAATCTTCCAGGCAGTGCCCCTAGAGCCAAGATGCCTGTGCAGCATGTAGAGGGAATCCCCAAAGCACAGCAATGTCCTGAGGCTCCCCAAACTCCTGGTGGGAGCCAGCGTCCTTGGCCCTGTACCAGTCATCCATCTGTCCATTTGACTCAGAGTAGAGGCTCAAGGCCAGGGCTGGGTTTGTCGGTGTTCCCAAAAGTGGGCCAAATTTGCCCCCGTGCCCTGGCCTTGCATGTTCCCAGGCAGGGGAGAGGACCCTGGCCTCCCTAAGAGGGACAAAAAGACCATGCCAGAGTCTTTCGCCCCATTGTCTTTCCTGTCGGGATCTGGGTAGGGACATTCTCCTCCCAACTCAAGTCCACAGCAGTCAAATACATCCAGTGAAGACACCAATAACATTATCAATGTTAATTTAAAAAAGAACATATATATATTTTATATATATAAAATATATATATATATTTATTTTTTATATATATAATATATATATAAATGTATGTATGTGGGTGGGCGTGTCTACAGGAATCCCAGAAATAAAACTCTCTAATCTTCCGGGCTCGGTGATTTAGCAGCAAGAAAAATAAAATGGCGAATCCAGTTCCAAGAGGGACCGTGCTTGGTCACCCGCCCGGGAATGCTTCTGCCGGAGTCTGGCCCTCCGGACCCAAAGTGCTTTGCGCAGTCTCCTCTTCCTTCATTTCAGGTTTCTGGATTAAGGATTGTTCTGTGGATGGTGGTGGTGGTGTGGTGGTGGTGGTGTGGTTCTGTATCGGTCATTCTGTGTCAGTCTTTCCTGGTGAGACGTCTGGTTCCCAAAACCCTGCGGGAGGCTCCTTCCTCCAGCCCGGCTCACCGCCTCGGCTTGTCGCATCTGAGGGAAATGGAAAACAAGGCTGGGGGTCAGGGCCAGGTGAGGAGGCCAAGCCATGAGGCAGGCAGCCTCCCCATTCCTGGGAGCCCTGGGTCCCTGCAGGCACCCTAAGAGCAGAGAGGATAGGGCAGGAGTGATCCTGGGACAGAAAGCCATAGTGTGAGGGAGAGAAGCAGCCCCTGCCCTCCAGGAGCCCGCTGAGCAGTAGCTGTGCTCAGAGGCTCCCTGTCTGCCCTCTAGAACTTGCACTCTAGTTAAGACAAGACAAAGACAGGAACACTTTACAAAGCAACAAATGAACAAGTACCAAAGAACAGTCCCTACTTGACATTTTAAGGGCTGATGGGTGACCAGAGCTGGATGAAGTTAATCAGGAGAGGGTCCCCGCAGAAGGAGGTTTTGCAGCTCAGTCTCTATGGGGCTGGTCTGGGGAAGAGTGGGCAGAACAGGGAGAACTCAGGGAGAACCCCCTGAGTTGGGGTGGCCAGTGAGGGGGAGAGGCTGCCTTGGGGACGTGAGGAGAGCCGGAGGGGCCTAAGGCCCCAGGAAGGTGAGGGAGCACCCCCATTTCCCATGCCCTCTCCCAGACTTGGCTGTAGGCCTCATCTCTTAAGCTGGCTGGCAGCTGCAGGCCCAGGTGTCTTTCCAATACGCTGTTTAACTCAGAGTAGGGGAGATAATTTGATGGCTTCGTTACCTCCTATTGAGGCAGAAGAGACCTCCAAGGGCTTTCTCATCCTGTCCCTGCCTCTGGGCTGATTGTCTTTAACCCTCCCCATAGTCAGCAGGAGGCAGAACAGGTCCTGCCCTCCAGGAGAGCCTGGGAATGGGGATCCTAAGCCTCTAATTTTGGGAACAGAAATTCCGAGATGCAGCCAGGTTGGGGGTTGGAAAGTCTCTGGAGGTTAGGGGTAACCTCGGTTAGGTCCAGGGTCACTTCACACATCCCCCATCTCGGACAGCCTCTTTGCAGAATCATCACCACAGAAACCCTAAAATGTCACATCCCTTATCTTCCCTGAAGCCCCCTGGATTGAGACCCTTCATCCAGCACCAAGAAACACAGAACCCCACACTGACAACCCAGGGCCTCATCTCCAGCGTCCTCTGAGCATCCACAAGCCACAAGGACAATGGAGGGGGGGAAGGGACACCCCCTAAGGACTCTATTAATGGGGCCTCTGGACTAGCTGGGGGTACCCTGGCCCTACCTTGGGAATCCCCCTAAAAGCCCCTCCTCCCTGGGTGAAGCTCACCCTGCCCAAAGGGCCTCGCTCACTTTGAGCACAGGCCCACTTGGTAAAGAACGTGAGTCAAGGGGCCGGCCCGTGGCTCACTCGGTAGAGTGCGGTGCTGAAAACACCAAGGCCATGGGTTCGGATCCCACATAGGGATGGCCGGTTTGCTCACTGGGTGAGCGTGGTGCTGACAGCACCAAGTCAAGGGTTAAGATCCCCTTACCGGTCATCTTTGAAAAAAAAAAAAAAAAAAAAAAAAAAGAACGTGAGTCAAGGCATCAAAAGACAGCCAGTCATCTGTCACAGCCCTGTGCTCATGACCTCACCCCAGAGCTGGGTCATGTATTAACTCACACACTTGACACTTCCTTGGTCCCATCATGGACAAGACACAGAAGTACAGGCTCCTGAGAGTCACAAAGGTAAAGAGGCCGAGGCCCAGGCCCAGAAGTTCACAGTCTAATGATAGGAGAGTGAGCATGGCCCGCTCCCTCCACCCATCCCGGGGGCATTTGGAAATATGTGGGTTGTCTGGGGTTGTCACTATAATTGGTGGAGGGTAAAGGTACCTAGTATCCTCGGATATTCAATCTCCTACAAAGTGTAGGAAGAACCGCCCCATCCTAAACCAACAGCCACAGCCCTTGCCTTTAGGGAGCCCGAGTCTGAGGGGAGACACAGCCCAGTCCTCAGGGAGCTTCAGCCTGATGGCGAGACACAGCCCTGTCCTCAGGGAGCCCCAGCTTCAGGGAGAGACACAGCCTTGTCCTGGGGGAGCCCCAGCTTCAAGTGGAGACACAGCCCTGCTTCCATGGAGAAACCCTGAAGAGATGAGAAGCCCAGCCATGCAGACTTCAGAGGGTGGTGACAAGGCCTGAGTGAGAATGTTTACACCTTGTAGACATGGTACCACACCTAGAAGGGCTCTCAGTTTCTTAGTATTAGTATCAGAGGTAGTAGTAACAACATCAGGACCAACAGCCACCACAAGCAGCAGGACCACAGGACACAACACACACTTGCGTCCATACCACCACATGAAGCCACACCAGCCTATCCACTCAGGCAACCAGGGCAACCTCTAAACAGGCCTCACCAGGCCAACCAGTGCCTGTGGCCCACCACAGAGGCCTCACGAGCAGAGAAGGCAGCAATCACCAGGAAGGCAGCTAGAAGCCGAGCAAGCAGCTGGCGCCTCTCAGGCGTGCGCTCCCTCTCTCTCTCTCTCCCCATCTCTGTGGGATGCCCCTCTCTGACTCGCTTGCCCTCTGGGAACCAACCTGCAAGTACGTTCGTTTAACTCAAGCTGCCTCGCCTTGCAACGTGAGTCTGTGTTTTTGCAGGAACATTTACACGTCTGCGGATCTTGTACAAACAAATGCTTTCTCCGCTCTGAGCAAGGCCCACAGGGACTGCAAAAAGGCAAAAGGAAAGACATCTAAGCTAGAGCATCAGCAGAAAGAGAGAAAAAAAATACCATGCAACACCCTCTAACACATCCGCAGCTGAGTGCCCCCCAACCCCCACCCCCAGCTCGTCGGTCCCCACACCCTTCTACACCCTGGAAGGCTCCGAGCACTACAGCAGAAGACAGAGAGAGCGGCATAAAGAGGTAGCACTGGCTAGGACACCTCCCTGCAGGGACAGGCGGGCAAAGACGGGCAGAGAGTGCAGGAAGAGGGCTGCCACAAGGGGCAGTGATGTGTCCCAGGGAAACAAGTACAAGTCTCAGGCCACAAGGCCCCAGTGCTGCTGCCCCCAGAAGAGCACACCTTGACTCTTCACCTACTGGGGACAGCTATCAGGGTCACTGAGATCGTCCTGTGCAAGGGCTTATGATCCCTCCACCAAAGGTGGGTTAAAGTTGGGCATGATGAGAAGGTAAGCCCAGAGGCAGTGTCCACAGGCTGAGGGCCAAGCCACTGGTGGCCAAAGGGCCCAGGGTAGGGCCACCATAGCCTCCAACCCAGAGGAAGAAGCCACCCTACAGGGAGGATTCTGTGGGTGCCATGCACTGGGCTGGCATAGGGGCTTCCCCTCCAGAGCCCCAAGGCCACGAGGAGCCAAGGCACTTTACCAGACGAGGAGGGGCCGTCACCTGGTGCTTGACCCCATGCAAGCTCCTTCTTCAGCTGACAACAGGCTGCATCTGGCCATTTGTACCCCTTCCTCACACCACGTCTGTCCTCCCCACTACCCTCCACTTCCAGGCAAGTGCAAGAGCCTAGACCAGTGGAAACCAGTTGGGTGAGCAGGCACCAGTGCCCAGCCCCCACGTCCAGCTCCTGTGCCAACATGGGCCCATCACCAGTGCCCAGTGGGTGAGAGAAAGTCGGTGCCCAGCCAAGCCAGAGTCCCCTCCCTGAATCTTCCAGGCCCTCTCACCCACCCCACCCACCCAACCCAACCCTGGACCAGCAATGCCACCACCAATTCTACCCATTGGTGCTAATTAGTGGAGTGAGAATGAGAGAGAGAGAGATACTGGGGCCAGGAGGGAAGGATGACAGCAGCGGTGGGTTCTGGAGGGTGCCAAGGGAGGGAGGCAGTGTTAAGGGGTACTGCAGGCAGGAGCTTGATTGAGGGCCAGGGAGACCCCAGGGAATTAGACAGCAGCGGGCACCAACGTACACGCTCCAGGATTTATACCAGGATTTCTTGCGCTTTCGTTTTTGCCCCTTTCCCTTTCCTCGAACTGATTTTCTGGAAAATAAAAAAACAGAGACAGACAGGGAGAGAGCAAGGGGAAGGGGAGAGCGAAAGAAGCAGTGAGGAGGGCAGGGGTGGGGACAACCAAAGCCGTCAGGTCCCACTCCCTGGAGCAAGGTGTTGGGGAAGCAGGGGTCTCAGGAAAGCGTGCACTCCAACACGCATGTGCACGTTTGGGCAGCATGCACTGGATGGCTCCTTCTTCTCCTTACTTTGCCCACCTCAGGGTGGCAAACCCAGTCCCTTCCAAGACTTTGGGTGTGGAGCAAAGACTGGATGGAGGGCACAGGACCCAAGGGTCTCCATGCTCATGGCAGCTCCTGGTCCCAGGCAGGGTCAGAGCCCCAAGAGTGGACTCTTTGCCCAGCAACCTTGATCAAGTCTGACCCTGAAGGTCAGGGGGCTACAAAAGGTAGGGCTAGCTTTAGGGAAAAAATCAGAGACCTGATTTGATGGGAGCTGGGGGAACTGGCTGTGCTTTGAGCACCATCTGTCTTCATTTCCAAGTACAATAGCACGAGGGTTCTTCCAAGGGCCCTGCCTCTGGGATCCTGGTGTTGGGGAGCAACTACCTTGGGAGCTGGCACAATACTGAGAGCAGCACATGAAAGGCACCAGCCGCCCAGCCATCACCTGGACTAAAAGGTGGGGCTGGGTGCCCTGGTGCCCCAGGCAGGAGGTAGGGTGGGGTGGGAGTTAGGGAGTGCTGGGGAGGAGAGGCCTGGGGGGTACTTGGCAGGGAGTTTTCTCCCCAGCCTGTCAAAGCCTGCTACACCATCTCACCAGACTCTCTTCTGAGCCCAGGCGAGCCCCCCACTGTCCCTATGGGCAAAGCAGGCATTTGGGGATCAGGCAATGGGGGCAGGCTGTAGCCTGTCCCCCTCAAGGGAACCAGCACTCTCCACGCCTGCCAGGCTTGAGAGAACACACCTCAGAACGTCTATCACAGGGGAAGGAAGGAGGGGTAGAGGGGACCGAGAAGGCCAAATCTGCTCCCCCTCAGGAGAAAGCACTGGAAGGATGGAAGGAGGAGGGACTTCATTCTAATTCTCTCTCTCTCTCTCTCTCTCTCTCTCTCTCTCTCAGCCTTGCTTTGGTAGCCACAGTAATCCTGGAAACTGGGGCTTAGGAAAGAGGCAAGAGTTTAAGGCCTAGGAGGCTTCAACATCCCTAGAGTGTTGGGGGCAGACAGGATGGTGGAGGGGAGGCAGGTAGCAGGGCACAGGTGCTCTTTCTCAGTCTCTTTCCCTGCAAGTTTGTCCCGATGCACACCCAGTCTTGAAGGCTCAGTGCACCCAGACCTTACCACCCACCCTATCCTGACCCAATCCTCCGCGCTGAGCAACTGGAAGCCTCAGAAAATGATCAACATTCAACATTCTCTCCCTGACCAAGAGGGCTGCATGCTTGCCGCCTGCCCCGCTCCTGTAGAGGCGTGCACCAAGAAACCCCCCAGCCAGCCCCAAATCCAACTACACCACCACAGTGGCCACCAAAAGAGGCCGTTTCCTCTGACACACAAAAGCTGGCCTCTTTGCTCCCTCTCCCCGCTGTGTGTGCCCTAGAGCAAGCCAGGGAGCCAGTGTCCACATTGCCGCCTGACATACCGAAACAGCAAGTCCTGGCGAGGAATGATCTGGAGACCTGGAAGGCATCGTCTCTTCCAGGGAAATGCCAGGCTCCAGGCTGGGTTTTCTCACTAACCCTGGAGCCATAATCCTGGAGTTGGCTCCATCCCACTGCTGTCACCACAAGTCTCCCACGAGACCAACTCCCTGACCCAGTGAGGCCATCCGAGCCCCTGACAGAGGAAGCCAAGAGCCCCAGACCAAGACAACCGGCAAAGGAGAGGGAGAAGGGCTAAAATCACGACCACTTACTTTTCTTGCCTTGCTCTGTCCTTCTTTGATCTGCAATGGGTAGGGAAAGAGAAAAGAACGCAACAGAAGGGTTAAAATGGTGATGATAATGATAGAGATAATAATAGTAAAAACAACACAGTGTTTATGACATAGCAACACTATTTTAAACCCTTTTCAGACGAGGGTACTTCAAAAAGTTCGTGGAGTATGGTTTTTGTTTTTGTTTTGTTTTTTGGCAGCTGGCCAGTACAGGGATTGAACCCTGGACCTTGGTGTCATCAGCACCACATTCTAACCAACTGAGCTAACCAGCCGGCCCTTGAAAAAGTTCATGGAAAGATTCGTATTATCTTTTAATTCTATTTTCCATGAACTTTTTAAAGTATCCTCGTATAAGAAAGAACTCACTTAATGCTATGAAGTACATACTATTATTGTGCCCATTTTACAGCTGTGGAAACTAAGGCACATTGAAGTAAAATGCCCAAGGTCATACAGTTAGAAGGTGGACACGGGCTAACAAGTGCAATGTGCTTAACCCTGGTGCAGATCAGGCACCCTGTAGCCACTTATTGAATGAATGAATCCATGACTCCATCCTCACCTGCATTCACATTTGCTGTGCTGTAGGAAGCTCATCTCTCCTATGTGCTGGCCTTGATGAGGTTTGACCCGCATAATCTGGAGAGGAAGGAAGCAGATCACAGAAGTTAGTGACCCAGCCAGCCATACCCAGGTGGGACACTCCCTGGGCTCCTGCCACTCAGCACCCAGGGGTTCTACAGAGCAAGGATGGGTGTTGGAGGTAGGAGGGACCAGGAGCTCTAGCAGGAAAGAGCCTGAGGCCCACCCCAACTCCCCCAATCCTGCTGGCCTCAAGGAGCCCCTGCTCCTCTTGAGGGTAGACATGGCTACAAGGGTTGGCCAGGCTGGGAATTCAAATCCTGATTTCTCACCACTCCCCAGCCCCTTCCCTCCTTTCATCCCTTCTAGGCTCACCACCCTGACCCCTAGTAGCTACCCAAGAGCCCCTCCTTCCCTGTGTCTCAGAACTCCCTCCCACCCTGTCTGGACTGAGATGTGCCCTATCAACAGGTAGCACCAAAAGACTGGCTTTTTAAACTCTCCATGAACCAGGCTCATCCAGCCTCCCAAATAAAGCCCCCAGGTGGGGAGGTTCTTTAGGGTGCTTTCCAAGAAAAGAAGAGAGGAGCCCCTGTCACAGGCATCAGTCCCCTCCTGAGCCCAGGGGGCAAAAGTCAGGGAGGAGAAAGAGGTGATTGGGGCTTGCTGGGAACCTAGGCTGGGAAATGCACGCATCTTCTTCCCCAAAGAAGAAAAGAAACCCACCACACTTCCCCACCCTACCCAGAGGGGTCCAACTCAGAGGCAGGAGCTGGGCAAGGCAAATCTGGCTCCTCCTTGCAAGAGCTTTTCCGGAAAGGGCCTGGGACCACCTGTTCCCAAAATCTAACGCCCCTCCCTATACCCCCCTTCCCCTGTTCTCCACAGGTGCCCACCTGCATGGTGATGTTGAACTCCTCAGTGGGCACACACTCCAGGTTCTCATCATTGCAGCAGCCCCCACACCGCATCAGGGCCACACAGGACGGCCTGAAGATGTACTCAACCTCATCAGGGTATTCCTGGAAGATTTCTACCAGGGTCTCAATCGGACGGCAGTAGCTGCGCTGGAAGACGTCCATGAATTTCACCACTGCATGGGAGGGGGTAACACGTGAGCCCAGTGTGTGGCATAAAAGATAGCCAGCCCCTATCTCCTCCCAGCTCTGTAAGGCCAGTCCTCAGGGCTCCTATGACAGGTACCCACTATCAGGCAAGTCCTTCCAAAAATCTAACTTAAGTCCCTCCTGCTATGGTTGAAGCACTTCCCGAAGCTTTCCACCATCAACACTGGTGAAGGCCTGTTTTTATTCCAAAGATTACACAAGGCTGTCAAGTTCCAATGGAGATGGTCTGCCACATCTGATCCCCCTTGCCTCATCGTGACAGCTGAGCCAATTCCTAAGGCAACCTTGATGCCAGAGGACAGTTTGAATATGCGTACAACTGTTGGGGGTGTTCTAAGCTTCCCCTGAAAGGGGGAACAGCCAGCTTTGCCAAGCTAGTCTCTAGTTTCCTACAACCTCCCTACAGTCACTTCCATACATCAACCATCCCCACCACCATTTACTGAGCACTTATTACATTCTGGGCACTGTGTACAGTAGTCCATAATCACCACATCACACAATTCTCCCCACATGGTACTATTAGACACTACTGGAATTCCATTTTACAAATGGGGAAATGGAAGCTCAGAGAAGCTAAGTAATTTGCCCCAAGGCCACACTGCTAGTAAATGGTAGAGTTAGAATCAGCTCTGACATCAAAGCTTTCCCAAGCTTATGTCAAGCAAAGACAGAGGAAAAGCTTCCAGAGGCACCTCGCCACCTGCCAGCACCGCCCACCACCCCCACTCCAGACACGGGCTGAGGAGAGGGTGGGCATCAGTACAGGGGCTGGGCCCTCCTGGAACCAACAGGTGGCAGTGGGCGGGCACGTTGTGCCAGCCCTGCCAGGCACAGATAACCCCGCCCAAGAGGGCAAACTGCTTGCATCACGGAAAAAACAGTGCTGCCACTGCAGCCACGGAGCATTTCTAGAAGCTGATCCGGAGGGAGACCAGGGTAAAGACAGTTTCCCAGACTGGCCGTGGAGCCTGGGATGCACTGGAGCATGAAGGGGTAATTCTGGGCCACAGGGGCGGGGTCTTTGAGAATAAGTAAATGCAGGACTCTGGCATAACTACTCCAAATTGTGGCCCGGCCTACCACTCCCATCACACATACCCCCACTACCACACTGCAATCCTGTCCCTGAAATGAGTTACCCTACGGGAGGGAAGCTAATGAAGAGGCCCAGGCTCTGACCATGACTTGGTGTGACCTTGGGCAGATCCCTCCCCTCTCTGGGCCTCCGATTCTGCTCATCTGTAGAAGCGAGTTGGGCTGATCTCAAAAGACACTAAAACGGAGGCAGAAACATGGGGTTTTGTCTTCCATTTCCAGCCCTGAGAACACAAAGTGCCCTTTTCTCAGCCCGAGTAACAGAAAGTGTGGAACTTCACTGAGGCATCTTAAGTGCAAGTCCCATAGACTGCCGCCCTACCCAGAGACCGCAGCTGAGCCTCCCCCTCACCCCTCCCTCCAAGTTTTGTTTTCCAGAAGGGTAAAGGAAGATGAGACCCAGAGGTCTGTACAATAGGTTGGTCAAGGAGAATCTGGGGAGTTGAAGAGAAAGTGGGAGAAGGCCACAGGTGTGACAAAGGAAAGGAGAAAAGCAGGGGAACCCAAGCCAGTCTGAAGTCTCTACTCCTGTCCAAAGGGCACAGAATCCTTCTCTACCCCCAAAGTGTTAATGTAAATTGTCATCAATAAAAGTAAATAAGACCAGAGATCTGAATAAGTCATTTTTTTAAGCCAAGTCTGTATTGAAGGAGGTGACAAATCAAGAATTTTTGAACTGATGCTTTATCATGATTGGGACAGAAGTGGCCAGGCTTGTGGCCCCACCCAGCAGAGGACAGCAGAAAGGTCTGATCTGGGCAATGGGGTTGTAGCTGAGGGTAAAAAGACTTAGGCTGGGAATTCCTTCAAAAAGCTTCTCCCTAGAATCCCCAAGGCCCATGGGAGGTGGGGGGGCAACTTCCACCCTTTGCACTCCAGCCACTGCCTCCAAGGACAGCTGTCTTCTGCACAGGGCGTATACACATATACACTCCAACATCAGGCTTTCGTGGTTTTCCTCATTTATCGCAGACAACCGTTTCTCCAGCAAACAAAGACCATTTGTCTTGCTTCTTTCTCCCAGACCACAGAGACCACTAGGAAGCTGAAGGGGGTAAGTGGCACACTAGGAGCAGAGTGCCTGTTAGTGGCACAGGCCAGGGAGTGGCTGGGAGGCCAGGCCCTGGGCCAAGGAAAGGGCTCCTGGGGTGGGGAAGGAGCAGGCAGAACTAGCTGGCCATCACCACTCCTGGCTGCTACCCCAGCCACACTGGATTTGGGTCAGAGAAACTCGCCTGGAAGAAGACCCCACGGCCTTCCTTCCCCAAAGGTGGGGAACTGGGAAAGTGTCTTCAAGCTGAAGCAGAGGCCACATTTGGTGGTGGGGGGAGCCTGGGCCTCCCCAGAGAAATGGGAGGATCCCTGTCCTCCAAACCACAGTGGAACAAAAGGCAGACAGACTCGGGATGCGGGGTGGGGGGGCGCCTGGGAGTTACAGCCAGCCCTCTGCTGGCCCAGGAGGGAAGTTCACAGCACCCAAACCTAGTCCACCCACAGGGACTTTCTCTACACGCAAAGAATGCAAACTAGGGGGTGGGGAGAATCCCATTAGGCTGGACCCTGCACCTCCAGCTTACACAGGAAGGGTCACAGCCCCCACAGGAGGGACATGGCTGGGTAGGAAGTGACACTGAACATCCATCCTCCCCTGGGAGCAGGAGGGACAAGGGATACCTCTTCTGACATCTGGAATCCCTGAACACTGTCTTCCTGGTCTATGTTCATGACTCCCTCTCCAAATAAAATTTTATTGGGAAGAACAGAAGAAAAAGGCAACAAGTTCTATTTCTAGCAGAGGCCTGAACAGAGGAAAGAGTCCTCAAGAAACTGAAGGGTTAATCTCATGGTGCTCACCTCTATTTCTCGATCCAGATATTTCGGTGCCCCTCCCCCTTCCCCACAACAGGCCTGAAAAGAAGGAATTGGGCCTCCACACCTATCCCCTGGGAGGACAGGGGACTCCATCTAAGAGCCAGGGGACTCACCTTCATGGGGTTTCTGCCCTCCTTCTGCCATGGGCGCAGCCTGGGACCACTAAGGACAGAACAAAGAGCAAATCATAGGCAGGAGTGCAAAGGCCCAGCCACGCGCCCCTATGCCCTCCCTAAATCTCTCCCAGCCCACAGCCTCTAGCTTCTCCAAGGCTTCTGAGTCAAAAGGGGCATAGCCCAAGGACCCCGCAGGCACAGAGCACACCCACCACCCCCAGACTGCTCCAATTCTAAAACCAAGGAAGTTAAAGACTAACTAGATGTTGGGGTATGGGGAGCTCAAAATGCAGGAGAAAAACACCAGGGTGCTGCACTGTCCAGGTCCCCTGTCCCTTCCCCACAATCTCTCTCCTTGCTCTCACTGCCCCCCGATTCCCTGGTCCAAAGCCATGGGTATGTATTAAGGTCAAATAGGAGGACAAATCTGGACTGGGGCAGAAAGGAAAGACTGGGGGCGAGAAAAACAACATGGTGACCTTCTCCTGCTGACATGACAAATACCAGGGTGAGCTGGTGTTGGAGAGGGAGGGGGGTGCAGAGGACCGAAGGGCACCAACCACCCTCCCCCATCCTAACTCTCTAGTCCTGGAGAATATCCAGCATACCCACAGGTGTTTTAGAGGGTTAAAACCTGGCAGGAAACCCTGGGGGAGAAGAGAACCCCATTTTCCTGCCAGCACAAATCTCCCCACAGCCTGAGTATATTTCCAAAACCCTACCAGCCTCCCACTCCCACCTTGTTCCCTGGTTTCTTCTCCCTCCCACAGTGAGGGGGTCCCAAGCCCCTCTCACCTGGGCACCTTCCTCAAATGCAACCAGGGAAGCCTAGTATGCCTTAGCACTGCCCGGCCCCTAGGGGGCCCCCTGCACTACCCTAGGCCTGAGGCCTGCCCTAACCCTCCCCAGCCTGGCCAGATCATTCCTCCCCTCCCCAGAAGCTGTGAAGGTCAATAAGCACAACCATGTGGACCTGACAGCACCAAGCAAGCAAAGGTTTCTCCTAGCCCTTCATGGGGTCTCCAGTTCTCACCAACTCCCCACCCCACTTGCTCCTTTTGCAGAGCAGATCCAGAGCAAGGAGCTACCCTCTAGCACACAGAACTCCAGACTCTGCTGGGAAGGAGTCCTACTGTCTGTCTGTCTCTCTCTCCTTCCCACACACCCACAATACAACCCACCCAGGTACCCCAGCCTTGGCCCCAGGGCCAAGGTCAGAGAAAGTCCCTTCCAAGGGAAGATAACAGACCCCAGACTCCCAGCTGGACAGCCTCCCTCAGGGACCCCCTGGATTCAGCACCTCAGCCCCTCACCCACCTCCACAACACTCCCTGGCTTCCCACTGCCAACATTCTCCCTATGCCCTCCACTCCTCCTGGACCCAACGAGGAAAGGGGACAGAAACTTCATACCCCCTCCAAGGCCAGGGGGCACCGGAGGGGCAGTTCTAGACAGGGAGGGGCCAGGTGCCCTTCTCTGGGGGCCTCTGAAGGTCACACTGTGGCCAGGCAGCTACTCCTCCCCCTCCCCCCCACTTGGAGGCCTGAAGCCAAGGCCTTTGTGCCAGGGTCTGAGGAACTCCTGGTGGTGGCAGGGACCCCTGCCCAACTTCCTTCTGCCTCCTCTCCAAGGGTACTCTGCTGAGGGAGGGTTAAGAGAGGGTTAAGGAAAGGACCTCTTCGGTGGCTTTGAGAAGCAAGTTGGGTGGGCAAGTTTGGAGTTCAAAAACACCTGCTCCGATGCTGCATTTCACCAGGACAAAGTGTGTGTGCAAGGCTGGCAGGCACTCCTTCCAAGGGTTCAGGAAGAACTATCCCCACGCTGTCCATGTCACGGCAAATTTCAAACCATTTTTCTACAAAGGGTAGAGTGGGGTAATGCCACTCTTTAAACTCTCCCTTCGCCCACCCTCATAAAAGCTAAAGCACAGCTCACTCGGAACTGTTGGGGAGGAAAGGGAGCACACTGTCACCAAATCCGGACTTTCGTAGAGTCTCAACAAAGCACTCGGGTGGGCTCGGCACCCCGACTCCTGACAGTGATCATCCTTTCCCTGGACTCTGGGGCCGGAGAGGGGTTAGATGGGTCTTCTCAGCAGAGAGAAGCAAAAAATAAAGGGTGGCAGGGGCTTCTCTACACGCTAGGGAGGAAATGGTAAAAGTGGGAAGGGGCGTCAGGATACTCCTTCTAGCACAGGGCAGGGGTAGGAGCTGTGGAGGTCGGGAAAGGATAGAGACGGTTCTCCGGGTCCCCGGGCTGGGGCTACCTAGAGAGGTCACCTTCCCGCGGAGGGCCGGCGGGGGGAGGGGCGCCGCTCGCCGCCCCGGGCTCCCAGCTCGGGTA